CCTTTACCAGGTGGAATGCCACCCACTGCCCATCCAAATCCACCCTGGGGGCCTCCAAACTCCAGCTCAAATCTCCATAAATCCAAACCAGAAGAAACCGTTCCCTCTTATGAATAATGATTTTCAGCACAGACTGCACAGTGCTGCTTCCTGCTTGGTCTTTGGAGGTGTCTCTAGGACTTCCCCTTTGTTCTATATCCCTGCCCACGTGGGGACAGGACCTTGCCTTATCACTCAGTCCAGCTCTCTAGCACGGAAAATATGTTGCTCAGTAAAACTGTTTACTGTCTGGTTAATTAAAAATATGACAAAAACAATATATGGGTCTCTAAAGGGATTTTAAGTAGCTTTAATTTGGCTTGATCACGTGGATTTTGGTAGGAAAGGATTTGCAATGCGCTTATTTAACACATATTTTACTGACTTCTTTGGAATTAATAGTGGGAAACGGTCGATTTTTATTACTGGAATTAAGGATGATGTCATGAAGAAAAAGGTTTGCTGACTGAGACATTACCTACCTGTCTGATACTTTTATTATGTATCTGATAGTAAGTCTGGAACACCTTCAAGGGTGTGTGTGTGTTTACATGTGTGTGTGTGTGTGTGCGCGCGTGTGTGTGTGTGAGTGCACATACGTATGTGGATACATGTGTCTGCATATGTGCATGTATATACACATATGTGTATATACATGTGTGTACATGTATACACATGTGTGTACATGTATGTATGGGTGAGTTTCATGAGTGTTTTCAATACCAGGCCTTATGTGTAATTATCACTGCAATATTTATCATCTAATTTGAGTTACCTCAACAAAAAGTCACTATAACATTTTCCCCCAAAACTATCTAATCAAGATTTTATCTTTATCATTTTTAGAAAATTCTATTTTTTATTTTAAGCACACACGCACGCACACACACACACACGCATGATGGGGGAGCACCATGTGGAAGCCAGAAGACAACCTTGTGGGCATCAGTTTTCTGATCCAGTTGACACAGGATCAAACTCAGGTCCTTAGGCTGGCACAGTGGGTGCTTTACCCACTGAGCATGTCACCACCAGGCCCCACTTCAAAGTCTTCTTATAGACAGCTTTACATGTGGATCAAGGACACAGCACAAACCAAATCAGCTATTTTCCCACCACCATTTCCAGCCAGCTGGAAGCTTTTTCTAATATCAAAAGGAACCAACCAGGTCCTTGAATTGCATCCTATGCTCGGCTTTGTTGACCATTGACACACTGGGCCTGAGAACTACTATACCAAGGTAATCAGCCCGACCAAAGAGAATCTGGCCAGGAGGCACAGTGCATTCTGAACCTAAACTACCTATAAACAACACAGGGTGTGACAATATCTCCACAACCTTGCATTCCTTGGTCTGACTCAACAGCCACACTGCAGCCTCTAGTCTCACTCTCTTGGCCTCTCTGCCGCCACCGCTGCCCTCACGGTGATTAAACTGATGAGCTGTAATCCCCTGGAATTTGACACAATCCTCCAACTGGTCTTCAGATAATCCATAGCAAAAGAGGGTGGGTGTGGCAGTGTTCTGGGAAGGTTGAAGTGGTAGGGCCACACGTTGGAGGCCGTTCTGGGTTATATGAGGCCTTGTTTTTAAAAACCTGAATAGAATAAAGTTACATACACACGTGTCCGTGCTGATATGTGTGCTAAAAATCATTTGATCACCGGGGAGAAAACTTAAGAAAATAAATTGGACTTTGGAGAAATGTTCTTCGGCAGCTCCTCTCAGAACCATGACAAGTTTTCTTCAGAGCTTGGCATTTGCCAGGTCTGCTTGAAACACTGTCCATTACAAACTCATCTGTTTAGTCATAGGGCCCCAGGGGGGAAGCACATTACAGTTGGCTGCATGTGATAAAGAAAAGGACAGCACGGAAAGTCACTGTGCTTGCCTAGGGCCACAGAGCTCAGGAGAGTGGGAGCAGAGCTCAAGCGCTCACAGCCGAGATACCGAAGCTGGTGGCTCTCAACCGTTCCCTGAGCCCCGAGAAGGATTGACAAGGCTAAGAAACTGCCGGCCAGAGCAGAGTACACATTACAGCTCCCCCATCTTCCAGCGTCCCTTTCAGATTCTCTCAGGCCAAATCCCGTAGAGAGGTTTTGACTGAGTTAGACCCAGTTCCACATGAGTGAAGTCCTGGAGCATCAGTCACCGTAGAATGTGAGCAGGGTCACCACACAATCTGAGCAGGGTCATACCGTCTCTACGTAATCTTGAACTTATGACCCTCCTACCTCCACCTCCTGAGTCCTGGGATTACAAGTGTGCAAGCATGACTCTGTCAGGTCTATCCTGTGCTGAGGATGGAACCCAGGGCTTTGCGATCCAAAGGCAAGCAGTATCAGCTGAGCCACACATCCGGCTCTCCTGCGTTCTCAAATCAAGCTTTACCGACATTCTGGCACCTGAGTATCTCAGGCCAAGGCTCTCCAAGTCCACAATCCTTGGAGGTTACTAAACTCGATGGCTAAAATGAGGCCATTTTTGCCCCCTAAATGACCTCCCACAGGGATGCTTTGTAATAAGATTAAACAGAATATGGCAAGAGCCCTGGAAGAGGGGCGGAAATAGAAACTAGAAACACACAAGGAAACAAAGCTGTGAACTTATGATGATGGATCTTTCTTTAAGTCACCCGGCCACAAAGGAGGGACACCTGTCCTCCCAGCTCCTGCCTCTCTCTGCCTTGGCTTTGTCTGCTCATTTTCTGAGTGTCAGTGACTCATCGTTTGAGAATTCCTAAGCTGGGCAGATGTCTTGGCTGATCCTAGATCCCTGCCACAGGAAGGAAAATCCACTTTTACCGTGGTGAGGCATTGGCAATTCACTGCAAACAGTCACCTTTGTGGCGGGGATTCAAACTATTGAGCTCATCTGAGACCCCAGGAGTCACCTCAGCCGTCCCAAGGCCCGAGATGATGTCTCGGCACTCACGGGCAGGAGGAGACTGGCATTAGGCAGAGCCAGCTTCTTCAGCACGTGTGCAGCCCTGTGCATAACCACCAACCAGCTCTATTTTAAGGGAAGAACCAGAAAGCTGTAGCTCAGAACCAAGTGTATGCACCCACACACACCACACACGCACACATGCCTGCACCCACAGTCATGAATGCAACTCTCTCGACTGGCAGCAAATCTATTTATACATTCCCCGTTTTTAAGACTTTCTTTTTAATTGACAATTGTGCATACTTATGGTACACCTACCACATGATGCTTTGGTATCTGTGTATCAGTGAGGTGACTACATCAAGCTGGTTAACACTCTTATCTGGTGACAAATCCCGAGCTCATCTCTCAAGGTCTAAACCATTTCAGCAGAAGAAAACTCAGGACCATGGGAGAGGCTGTTCCTCCGTAAAATCCTTTGCTACCAAAGCCTGGCCTTCTCTTTGTCAAGACAGAACAGATAATAGAGGAATAAATAAATGTTGAGAAGAAACTTTATTGAGGTAACATGACAACTGGGTGAAAAAGCAATGGAGTCTCCCCTCCTCTCTGCTGTCCCACGGCTAAGGGTGTTTTGAAAGATCTAGGGTTCAAAGCATTTCCAAGAGTCTATTTCTGTCCACACTCTGGGGGTGTCCCGTACCTTCAGAATGAGAAATGGGGGAGTCTGAAGGATATTTTACAGAGTGACTTCTGGATCAGCACTGCGCAGCCTTCAAAGGGTGCTATTTGCTCACGTTGTTTTGTTTGTTTGTGACAAGGCCTCATTGTGACTAGGCCTCACTACATAGCTTGATTTACAGCAATCCTCCTGCCTCAGCTTCCTGCTGGATTAACAGACAGGAGACATGAGTTCATTCCTACTCCTTGAGTTGGTTCATAATTTTCTTGTCACTGTCCTGAAATGTGTTGGAGAAAATTTAGCATTGCTTCAAATCCAAATTCCTTCCTCTGACTACGTGGTTCTTCCATGTCTCCTGCCTGTTCTCTTGCGACTACGCTGTGTGCCTTGGCAGTGTGTCGGTGGCTGCCTCACTGGAGTTCCGTTTCAAGTCGTCAGTAGTCTATCCTTAGTCCAGCAGGTGCCATTGCATGCGCAGCCTCAGGCTCACAGAATTGTAGAGCCGGCTTTAGTTCATGAATGGAGAGGGTGAGTGGTTAATAGCGAGTCTTGAGAAACGCCCGTGGTATGCCACACACTGTACGGATCTTCTATCAGCTACCAGCCCTTACCAAATGAAGTGAGAGAACTCTGAAAGGCTATAAGGCATGGCCAAGGCCGCAGTCTGACTTCAAAGGTCACATTTTTCCAAGTGGCCTCCAACCACCAGGGTTGGTTAAAGGGGAAGAACAGAGGGACAGTTAACAGGTCCATAAAGTCCCGCATGTTCCCACCCACTTCCCTAGCTGAAAGAGGTCAAAGGCCGCTGCCTCCACCTCTTTTTCGCCTCCACTTCTTCGTCGTCGCTTTCTGGCTTGGTGACTCACCACCTCTGCTCTTCAAAGTTAGGACTCCACGTTTCAATCACCTGCATCCTGAGCTACAGGTTCGTCCTCCTGAGCACAGCAGAGCTGAGAATCCCACAGCTGAACTATCTCTTTCCCAGTTTATCTCTATAAGACTCTAGACCCTTCCGCCCCAGAATTCAGAAAGCCATCACAATAGGTCCTCTCCTCTACCCAGTATTATCAACCATCGTACATAATCCATCCTTTAGCAGGCTCCCCTTATCCCGCCCCTTGGGGGCGGGCCTTACCCAGTAGCATCTAGGCCCACTGGCTAAAGACATCAAAAGTAACCAATTATAGAAAAATCTTCTGCTAAGAATCTCCGCCTTCACCCTGAGGTGCAGTCCCACCGACCAATGGGGTACCAAATAGACGCAATAGGCATGCTGAGCAAATAGAGTGGCGGCTGGGCTATCCAATGAACATTGGGAGAGCTTTGCTGGGGGCGTAGCAGAGGCGGTCGTCAGGGGCGTGGCGGCAGTTGCCTGGGCGGGGCCGGTAGCGGCGGGAGCTGCGCTGGCCAGGGGTTCCGGCTGTATTTCTATGAGCGCAGCCGGCAGCTGCGGAGCTGCGGGAACCGGACTCCGGGCGGGCTGGACCGCTGGAGTCAACGAGCAAAGGTAAGACCTCGGCTGGGCGAGCTCCACCAAACAGGGATCGCGCCCTGGAGGCGTTGGGCCAGAACCCCGAGTTCCGCGGTCCCCAGCGTGGCTCGGCCCATCGCGCCGCAGCTTGAGTGCTCCAGATCCGTGGGGACTGTTTGGGGACTGTCACCTGGCACTGCGGGGATCCAGAGAGCCAGCTTGTCTAATGACAGGGCAGCCCAAACCACTGATAGGATACGCCTTCCTAAAGGTCCTTTGTCCTCTCCTGCTCGAAGAACCGAGGCTGGGGACAAGGCCGATGGAGGCCTCCTGGCTGCCATCCCCCGTTCTCATCAATGCTCAGTCTTGGTCCTGGGGAGGTATCTGCCTGGCCAGACTTAGGGTAGAGAGTGCAGGATGCTGGAAACCTGAAAGGGCCTAACTACAAGCCCGGATATTCGATGGGTCTATGCATATTGGGATCCCAGGGCTCACCTACGACGGATAGGTTCAAGTTCTAGGGAAGCAATTTTTGACCTACTTGGAGGCGCACTTTATTGAGCTTGTGGGGCAACTATTCTAGGTGTTTCGTGGGCTTTCCCCACAAGATCTGGCCAGCAGCGCCCTGGGCTGCCCGCCAGGCTGAGCAGCCAGACCATCGACCTTGGAAGTGCCTAGCCAGAGGCCAGATGACAGCCACCTGTCTGGGATGCTTAGGAAGGGGAGGATTGTATGATCCATCTGTGAGGCCCTTCTCCATCCACCCATGCACTCTGGACAACATTTATTGACTATATCGCGGATGGTACTTACCGGAGTCCACTAGATTCCAAGGGGGTGTTGAGTTCACCCATAATGATTTTTATTGGGGTCTTAGCTCTCAAGTGCATGTGTGCATGCCTGCGTGCAAATGGACTAGATTATGTTGAATGGTAAATTAATCAAGTGGTTCATCTTAAGTGCGCAGTTGGGGGTTCCTCTTTCTGGTTCCTCTTTTGTGGTGCTTCCACCTCCAGCTGGTCAAGTTTTACCTGGCCCAGAGGCAGGTTCCAAGAGCAGGCTTGGGAGAGATTGCAGGGTTGGCAGAGTCAACATGATCTGTGCCCAGAGCTTTTCAAGGACCATTGGGTTACAACCACATTAAGCAGAGTGCATTTCCCCTTCTCACTGCCTCCCCTCATTTGCCTGACTAGAAAGGACATAATCCTCTGAAGGTCAGGAAGCAGAAGAAATAATGGTGACCCGCCTTACCCATGCGAAGATGAGTGAAGCTTCAGGCAGGCAGCCAGAGTGCAGACCAGTCCATGCTGCTAATGGTCAGCGTGAACTTATGATATTTTGAAGCCAAAATGCTGAAACTCATCTAATTCATTCTCTTTACTGTATGGATGAAGAAACTTAAGGCCTAGGATGGTCACAAGCAGGCCGGTCATCACACAGTCACAACTAAGAGTTGTTCGATCCCTTGAACCTTAGGTCTAAGTGGCACATGACTAGAATTCTACTTCCGGCCTAGTTCTCATTCTTTAAGTTCTAGAGGAGCCCTGAGCAGGTAGAAGCACGGACTTTGGCATCTAAGTACCTGGGTTTGAATCTTAGTCCTGCTTCTTCCTAGCTGTGTTACTTGGGGAAAGTTATTCAACCTCTCGGTATCAGTTTCCTGGTCAGTAAGGCAAGGAATGATGTTGGTACTTTAGTTAAAAGATTGGAGAAGTATGCGCTATTGGAATCATTAGAACAGTGCCTGGCCCATGGTCACCCTAACAGATTTACTAAGTAGCCAGTTGTCGCCTTTCCATGTAGCTTTCCTTCATCTCCAGCACCCAGGATTTTTCCACCCTTAAACATTGTCTAGATTTTAACATGTTTTTTTTTTTGTTTGTTTGTTTGTTTTTGGTTTTTCGAGACAGGGTTTCTCTGTGTAGCCCTGGCTGTCCTGGAACTCACTCTGTAGACCAGGCTGGCCTCGAACTCAGAAATCCGCCTGCCTCTGCCTCCCAAGCGCTGGGATTAAAGGCGTGTGCCACCACTGCCTGGCTCTTAACATGTATTTCTTAGTCACATCACATTTTTTCCCCTATTTTCCTCGGATAATGTGGTTCCTCTGGTAGTTCCCACCTTGTGTCACATCCCCTGAGACACCAGTATTTCCATCATCTTTAAAGGGATTAAAAGTGAATCTCTCAAAGCGGTAGACAGAAGTTCCCGGGGATCTCAATCTGCATGGCTGTCTGTCTTTCCAAACTGGAATCCTTTCCGCCCAGCCGCCCTCCCCAGTTGTCAGTGTGATTCAGCGAGCTTACAAATGGAGGAACGTTTTTAGATTAAGATTTCATGAGCCACCGAATTAAGTGCTTTTCGGAAGTTGGGGGATCGTGTGTCAGAGTGCATTTAAAGCAGATTCCTTAGTCATTTGAGTAGGGGGTGCGGCCGGCAGCAGCCTGGCGGGAGACATGAGAGCGCAGGACAGATCCTTGCTTGTGGGCTCTTCTGTCTGCACCCTTCTTGCACTCTCCTTCTTCCTCTTTTTACAGAGCTTGAAATAAACCAGATGGCCATGCAATGTGAGTCCTTTCTCCCCTCTCTAGCAGAAGTTCCATTCAGCCCTTTTACTTTCACTTTCATTTACACTACCTCTTTGATGCTCTTTGAAAGCTCCAAGGCTGTGTTGAACTCACCTGTTCGGAAGTGCGCCCACAGAGTGCGGGGGTGGGGGAGAGGATGGGGGCAGCTTTCTGTAAATGAAAAGATGCCTGCCACCTTTGTTTCTGTATTTTGAATTTAGCAGAAACTCAGTCCCCTGTGGTTTTCCCTTCTCTGGGTGTCACCAGAGGTGACTACTCTTCATTGATGGGCACCTAGGACTATGATCCTGCATCTGAGGCTCTTGCCTTGAATCTTCTGCACCCAGCCATTTTAGAAGAATGGTTTTCTCTTCTTTGCTGTGTTTGTCTCCCAACCCCCGAATTCTAACAGAAGGATGGGTCCTAGTCAATCATTCCCTCCTTCCTGAACTCACACTTTCCCCTGGTCATTTCTGATCGAGCCTATGCAGTTCTCTTGGCTCACAGCTCCTGCCCTAGAGCATAGCACAATCTCTGGCCCTGTAGGAGACAGGGGAAATAACTCTCCTCCCTCCTCCCCTTTAAAATCCGGTTAGGTGAAAACCCCGGCAGATGGACATTTCCAATATAATGGAATCCCATCTGGCAGAATTTCTGTCAGGGCTGTGCCCTACAGTATCTGGATTTTTATTGGATGTAGGATTTGAACCTTCATTGACCAGTTGAGTTAATGACTCCGCTGTTGAGTTGTTGTAAGCCTTACTGTTTCATCTTGCCTATCCTAGGAACAGACGCCAGAAGGGGTAGGAAACCTTTTAATGTGGTCAAGTGTTAGGATTATACCCAGCCTTTCGTGGCCCAGTATTTTGGCCAGTGCATCAGTAAGATATCTCTCCTCTCCAACCCCACTTTTTTGTGGTGTTGTTTGAGACAGTGTCTACGTATGCAGTCCAGGCTTGACTTCTCAATGGACCTCCTGTCTCAACCTCCTTAGGTTCTGGGATTTCGCCCTTGATGCCCAGTGATTACAGCCATGTTAAGCCTCTGTGCTTCTTTTCAGCATTGATAATATACACAAACTTATTTTCCATGAGGACTGGTTTTGTTTCTGTTTTGAGACAGTCTCCTGTATCCCAGACCTGCCTCAAACTCACCGAACACCCAAGGGTGACCTTGGTCTCCTAATCCTCCTGCCCCTGCCTCCCAAGTACTGGGATTACAGGCATCAGCAGCCACCAGCAGCCACCACCCCATCTTCTTTTGAGGATCATGCTTCTATCTACAAATGAATTTTTACCGTCTTGGATCCAGGGCATCATGTATGAGAATTAAAGATTTTCAGTTTATAAAATGGCTGTAGGAGACAGATGAAGAACCTCACTATCACCAAGAGTTGTGTGTTCTGGGCCAATTGGGCAGAACGCGTGTTACTCACAGAACCGTGCTCTGATCTTTCATAGGCATTAGGCAACAGCCAGAGTCTGAACATCGGTAGCACAGGTTTGCCCAGGTTCTGACTTTTCTCTTGTATTCAAGTGGAACCCTGGTTAGCCAGGTGCTAGCTTTGGGTTCCACTTGTATACAACAGAATGAGGGATGACTTTGAATGCCCGTCACATCACCTCTAAGTCTGGAGAGTGCTGGGCTCATCGGCCTTTCCATTAGGGTACCGTGTGTTACATGGGGAAGATGATGGAGCCCAGGGTCAAGATTCTGTCAACTGAGCTGCATCCCCAGCCAAGGGGAGGTTTGTTAGTTCGACAAATTCTCCACCTGATGTGTATCAGGAACACTGCTAACCAAACCAACAAGTGTGTCTGCTTTATTACCTAAAGCTATTTTGTTTTTAAAATTGGTCCTATTTAAATTTTTAAAACTTAATGCTCTTAATTCAAATTTTGGTGTTTTGTTTTCTGAAACAGAGTCGCTCTTGGTAGCTCTTGCTGGCCTAAAACTTGATAGGTAGCCCAGGCTGGCCTCAAACATGCAGACATGTCTGCTTCTGCCTCCAGAATGCTGGCATTAAATGTGTGAGCCACCATGTCTGGCTTGCATTTTGTTGCTATTGTTCTTTTTTATTTTTTTGCACACTTATTTATTTCCTGTGTTTGTATTTATGTATGTGCATGTGTTCATACCATCGTGTGCATGTTACTTTACAATTAGATAACTTTGGGACTGTGTTCTCTTTCTCTTCCATCCTGTGGGTTCCTGGGACCCAGCTTAAACTATCAGACTTATTGACAGCCACCTTTATCTGCTGAGCCACTTTTCTGGCCACTGAAAACTTATTTGAAGAAAATATACACATCGAAAGGTACAAAATACTGAATCTATATGAGAAACATCACTTTTGGAAAATACAATTCTGCCTCGTTTTGGATTTTTTTTTTTAAATGGGAAATAAATAACAATGCCAAGTGTAATAGCTCACATTAGCTAACTCAGTGTATGGAAGTTTGGCGCAGGAGG